TTTTTTTTTTTTTTGTTTTATTTCATGGGGTCGATTGATTGAATGTAGTATTTCTGACCAGTTTCAAGAAAATGGTGAAGTTTTGGCGTTATTTGAATCTATAAATGCTGGATAAGAGGGGCCTTCATACGATGAAAATTGGGTGCAGTTTTGTCTTATTTTGATTTTTGGCAATGTTTATGTGTTACTGTTGAGTAGATTAAGACTGTTTGATGGAGGTTTTAATTGGGGCCGGAGTAAGTTGATACATCTCATCTCTACATTGTTATGATTAGATCGCTTTTCGGGGCAATCAGGACTTGTCTTGAGGGGTGACATTGGGTCCATGATATGATTTATGGGTCATATCTTCTCATACATATGCATTAAGTTACTGGTTGTCGTATTAGAATTTGTAGCTGGTCGATTCCATGACTGAAATGTTTGAGAGATTTGGCTCGACTCTTGTATATCTTCTCATTTCTTTTTTTAATGGAAGATTTTAGAAGCACGAATGCTGTTACTTGTTAAGGCTGAGGAGGGAAGAAATTTTGTAATCACGCGTGGGAGGAAAACTTTCTCCCTTTCGGGCGAACCGGGTGGCTTTATTGTTCCTATGATAATTTGGTTTACATACCAATTTTTCTGTGGCTTCAAATGTGGAAATGTTCTATGCTTTTGTTGTTGATGAAAGGTGAATGTACTCTGGTGATCTACATTTTGCTACATTTTTTCATTAAATTTAGCATAATGTTTTAGGCTGCATCTGGGGCCGTGCAGTGTCAGATGATGGATATGACATACCCCGGTGTAGTTCCTATGCACAAGGTGATAATTTCATTTTATTTTTTTTTTAACGTTCAGCTACTGAATGTGTGTGTGCATAGGGATTACTGACATCCATACTGTCATAGGTGAATTTTGACGGGAAGACTGAATATGATTTCATTCAGAACTACAAAGTGCTTCAGGATGTTTTCAATAAACTCAAGATTAGCAAGGTGCATTTTTTTCTTTTTCTTTCCATGTTCTTATTTTCTTGTAATTTGATAAATATATACTGTGTCAAAATTCTGTCAATAAATATCACCATTTTATACTTTCTTGGCTCGAATACTGTTCTAGCTAGAAGCAGAGGAAACACGCATTTTACGAATTTGCAAACTCTCCATAGCCCTCCTTTTAACCTCTTTTCCTTGTATCTTTTTGTCTTTTTTCCTTCGCAAAACTGCTTACCCGGGTTATGACAAAGTGTGAAGCTGGATAATTTGTTTAAAATGGTTGCAGCATATTGAGGTAAACAGGCTTGTCAAGGGGAGGCCGTTGGACAACTTGGAGTTTCTACAATGGCTAAAACGTTATTGTGATTCAGTAAACGGTGGTCTAGTGAATGAGTAATACCTCCATTTAAATTTTAAGTACTCATTGTTCGAACGATTTTCTTTTTCATCTTTCTGCAGTGGGGTTATAATTTGCCTGGCTTGAGTTTCCTAGGAATTACAATCCGGTGGAACGTAGAACTAAAGCTGGTAAAGAAAGAGGCATCAAAGTGTCTCAAAAGCAATGTAATAAGTCATTACAGACGAGTAACACTGTTAATCCTGGCAAAAGTGATGCCGATCCTCGAGTTCAAAGAAGGATTATCGGTAATGCATCTATCTTAATCTTTCACCCTCTTTTCTTTTCTTTTCTTTGTATTTTTAAGGTTTTAGACCATTACTACTCTAGCGTTCTCATCTAATATGGCTCTTGGTTGTTTAAGGTTCCAAACAAGGGTATTCAGGGAGTGTGGCTTCTGAGTCCAGTTCTGCATTGGAGATTCAAACATTGACAAATGAGGTAATAGAAAGTGCATCTTATGGTTGTTTAACGAAGTGCTTTGCAGAAGTGATTTATCGTAACGGAAGTGACAACTAGTTGAAATTCAGAAGTTGATAGCATTTTTTTATGGAAGTTTATTTCGCAAAAAGTGGGTGTTAGGAGAATAACTTGTACAAGTGCTTTATTTGTGCATATGGGTCAAAATGGATAATAGAATTAAAAATCTAAAATATACTTTTATGTCTCTGGATTTTTTACCTTAAGCAGAATTAGCAGCATAAGTTGGCAGGTGAAAACAGTACTAAAGGATCCATATTTATCTGAGTGAAAAGAATATAAAACTTTCAATTCTTTAATAACAGTTTCGTTGAGCTTTGTCTAGAAAATGTATTCCAATCATTACATTTCTAGCATATTCTTTGGGAAAGTGTGGTGACTACGAATTCAGATTATACAATTCATTTGAAACCCATATCCAAATGTGTTTCTTTCGAACTTCAATCCCAGTTCAAATAAAAAATAAAAGCTAGTTTTATTGCTTTGTTTTGATGTGTCACTTGTAATTCAGGTCACAGATCTCAAGCTTTCTGTTGTGGACTTGGAAAAGGAAAGAGACTTTTACTTTGCCAAGTTACATGATATCGAAGTACTTTGCCAGACACCCGAGTTAGAAAATCTTCCGGTAATAATTCCGAGTTATAGTCTGTATTATTGGAATCT